GAAACAAATGGCAAAATTCATGGAAAAACCAAACCGGAAATAAACTATTTCAAATTAAACCTAAAATGGGGAAATAATCTTGGAAATACTCAGAAAAAACAAGTCGTCATAACCAGAACACATATAGGACATACATATTTAACCCATTCTTATATATTAAAAAAGACAAATCCACCAAAATGCAGATGTGGAAGCCTAATCACAATAAAACATATCCTATTGGAATGCAAAATCATAACTAAAATAAGACAAAAATATCTCAATGGAAAAGGTTTAAAAGAAATTTTCAAAAATACAGACACAGAAAAAATATACAATTTTCTCAAAGAAATAAAAATCCTCAATAAAATGTAACCCTTTCAAATAGTGTATATGTATGTGTATATGTGTTTATAGACATATTTATGCATGTATGGATGTAAATATGAAAATACACAATCAGAAACAGTCACAAGAAAAAGCAATCCCAAAAAATACAGAAGATTATGAAACCCAACAGCCTTTCAACCTTTTATACAATATAACCATCGTAAATTCATAAATTAATAAGGCTTCGGCATAAAATGACCCAAATAGGAGTTGACATGTCGTTAAATCAAACATTCATCCATTCTACACAGTGGCATGCTGAGGTCTTGGTCTAGGGGGAAGCAAGAGCTTGGCTTAGCGCCCCCTAGCCAAACCAGCGGTCAATGAAAGGGATGGATCAAATACTAATTTTTCTGAAATACAAATACTTCTCGTGATTATTGACGCGACATAATTGGAAATACAAACATAAATACAAGTAATTTTCTTCCAGATTCCAAAAATACAAAAACAAATACAAATACTTCTGAAACTAGGCAAAAATATAAATATAAATGCTTTTTTACAAATACTCTGAAAAAGTATTTAAATACATTTTGATTTGATTTGCCATGACCAACAAGCACTGTGCATTGACAAAACCTGAATGAAAAGATGTCAAGACTAGATCAATTAATTTCATTTATTTGGATTCGTAAAGCAGTGACATATGACCTGGTTTTGTGGTCAAAAATTTGTCAATAACGACATCGACATTTACATGTCCAAATTCTTCATTTTGGATGCTTAATAAAGCCAAATTGCTTAGGTGTTCCTGAACCAATGTGCTTCGGAAATAGTTTTTTTTATTAATTTTACTTTGCTGAAAGAGCATTCACAGGATACCACAGAGACAGCAACAGCCAACAGGTTTGTGCAAAAGTTATTTGTAAATTGGGGAACACATAATTGCTGTAAGATAAAGTGAAGTTGAAAAGCTTGATTATTGTTGTTGTTTTTTTTTTTTTTTTTTTTTGGTTTAACAAAGATTGTCTTTTTTTTTTGTATTAACATTCATCAGTCTGTAATTTTGCAATCGAGTCTTATTCCATTAAAATCACTCTCATATGTTGTACTGGCTGGTTTGCATTTTTCTACTGTGTCTTTGTTAGTCAGTTTTTACAGGGAGAATCCCATTCACTCATAAAAGATTGTTGTAAACTTTGAATGTCAGATTGAAAGTTATTGAAAGTTCATTCTAGGTAACTGAAGTCTCTTCTGTAATTGGTTGATTGAAATCAGGATGTCATTCCAAAACGGCTGCATTGTTAGCTGAAAGTTTGCATGTTGTGCAGCAAGCAGCTGGCGTTGCTTCTTGTGTCAATTGATACATCAAAATTTAAGCAACTTACATCTTTCTTGGTTAATACTGCATATTTAGTTTCATCATTTATGCATGTTCATCAAATTGGCAACAATCCACTGACCCTGGTGCTGTTCTGTGTAGTTAGAGCCAGTGGCAAAAACAAATGAAGAAACAACACAATTGTTTCCATCTCCATCTGGGCATGGCATTTTTAAAAACTTCATAACTTGACTGGATTTCTGTAGATCTTAGCATTCTCTTCTCCTACAATTTTTTCCCTTCCACATCAGATTCTTTTGCCCATGTCGCTCCATTCTTAAAATTTCTGCCTGAAATAAAAGTATAGCTGTCCCTCTCAGTTATATAAAGATTGTGAGGTTAGTTTGTCTCATGTATGGGTGTTTATTGTCGATTGAATGACAGCATCATGGAGAATTAGCACAATAACACCATAATACCATGACAATGCCAAAGACTGAAATAAACAAAAGTGGTTGATATCAGAATCTATCCTAACTTAACAGCCAAATACATATATACGTTGCAATAAAGCATTGTTCCCTATATTCTCTGTAATAAACTTCAAAGACCTTCATTGAGTTTCTCAGCATAATAATATGATAATATAATATTATTGCAGTAAAGACCACAAAGCTTTTGTCATCGTTAATGACAACCAAATTATATCCTAAAACTCCTGAATCTTTTTGCATCAAAACCTTGTATATGGCTCCGAGTTAGAATAAGATCATTATGTCTAAATCTTTTTATATATTCATTGAAATGCTATGATCTACCAGTTGGGGTGAGGAGAAAAATTACTAATATTATCATTTTACAAAGAAACACTGGGTTTACCATCTCAGGAATACATCTTAAAAAATTAATATGAACTAGTTTTTAATCTGTGCCACAACCAAGGGAAAATAGAATTAAACAAACTTTTTGTTGTTCAACATATTTCACATTTTGACCAGCATGCAAAGCACATGAATGAAGAACTACTAACCACAGTTGCTAAAATAATTCATGATGTTTTGTTAATGAAATAAGTATCTGCGGGCAATCACAAAAAGGATATCAAGGTAAATAAAAGGATTTTTAACATATGTGTGTTAGCATGTGCAATAACCTGTCTTCATCAGCCGTTGACCAGGGGTGATATCATGGTTTTGGTGGCTATGCTGGGACCAAAACCATGATATCACCCCTGGTTGGTGCATGATATTTTATATTGAAATATAAACCCTGATATTAAAGTAAATAAAAAGAAGGAAATTTTAGGTCCTCTTTCACCAACATTTTCACTGATAAATGTGTTAAATTTCAACTCCCACCATCCATACAGCATAAAGAAAAAGTCATAAGTGGCGACCTACAGACATTAGATAAAGAATTGTTCAGTATAAGTAGTACCCTACAAAGTAACAACTACCCTGGTTACATGGCAGCAGCCCCAATAAACTGGGATAGGTGTGTACAAGAGGAGGACAACAACACTCAGAAAACAGTCTGCCTGCCTTATGTGAAGGGGTTATCAGAGAAAATACAAGGGATCTCCGGTCCATATAACATCAGGACAACTTTCAAAAGCTGGACGACACTTCGCAGATATCTCTCCCGAGTAAGACCCCCATGGAGTAGAACATGACTTAAGACTGTGTGTACGCTATCCTGTGCAGCTGCGGAAAGAAATATAAAGGGGAGACAGGCCACCCCCTCAAGGTAAGGCTTCAAGAACACCAGAAAGCTGTAACACAAGGGGAAGTGGAAAAATCAGGTGTGGCTGACCACATATGGAGAGAAAAGGGAGACCACCGTCCTCTGTGGGATCAGGTTGAGATAATAGACAAAGAACACCATTGGAAAATTTGTAAGCTTAAGGAATCAGCACATATGCTAGGCTAGAAAAATCTCCTGAGCCGACCAAGCATAGAAATGAATACAATATGGGAACCAGTAATAAGGAGTGCCAGAGAAAAGCAATAACAATGAAAATTGCAATATGAGCTCTGGTAAAAAACGTGTAATGATAACAGCAAAAATTGCGATATGAGCACTGGTAAAAAAAATGTTTGCTGAATACATCAGGTGTATAATACCCAGAAATTCATACACAGAGCTCAAGGACACATGGCACAGTGGATAAAGGCGTTAGTTAGATCCAGTGACAGGACCCAAACAGTGTGAGTTCAATACCTGGTTAAGGGGGTGGAGAACTTTGAGAGGTGAATTAACATGAGATAACTGATAACTGACATCCATTAGACATGACACATGGAACTAGAACAGTCTACCCCAGTGAGCAAAATAAAGGATTCAGTTAGACATTCCAGCCACGAAGAAGGCTGGAGCATGCAACAAAGATGAGGACAATAGTTTGAATAATGTAAATGTCTTAAAACTTGGTCTATCCTCAGCTTACTTGGTCTCAATTTTTCACCACATAAATAAGTTTAGATTGGGTCAAGTTAGGTGTGATTTTTACAGATGTTTTTGGGTGAAAATATTGCAAGTGGAACATTTTGCTTGCAATTTACTTCCAGTCCCAGCAATAAATTTATCAATCACTGAGCGATTTTGCACCCCATGAAAGTGTGCCTTGGTGTGGTTGTCCCTCCCTACTTCTCCCTATATTCTGCCACTCCCCTCAGAATTAGCGTGGGATGAACTTGAAAGAAGAGTGAAAAAAAAAATGCAAAAGTTCTTAGTCATTGACAAAAGAATGGAATCAATTATCAAACATATACTTTGAGAAATTTTTGCAATGAATGCCAAAATTTGTGCTGCAGTAATCAAGGCTAAAGGAGGATATTTTGACGAGAGCAAAATTTAAAGCAATTTGTCATAATTTTTTTTTTTTTTTTTTAACCATGTATAATAATTTTCTCTTAAAGTACAAAACTACTTTTTGGGCCAATTTAAAAAATTACCAAGGGTTTCCTCAAACTTTTGAACTGTTGTCTATTTTCTCTTTTTACTCTCTGGTAAATTATTTCTTTTACAATATAAACCTTTTGTAATTATGTATTCTTTGCAGTATTTTGTATAGACACAATCACAAAGCTTTGGTCTGATGAAGGCTGGAGTGTACAATGTCTGAAGCATAACAATCAAGATGACAACAGCTTGATTAAATCTGTAAAAATAAATACCAAATATTATATTTGGTAGTCTCTAAAAACATTAATTGCCTAATATAACATTTTGGTACCAATGCTTAGGTATTATAAATGGAAGTCTGTGCTGTAGTCTACCAATAAAATGTAGTAAACTGCATCAGTAAGCAAATATTGATTTGTGTAAATAAACTTTTAACTTTTTTTTTTTTATTTTCTCCTGACAGTATCTCCATGAATTTGGAATCACACATCGTGATTTGAAAGTAAGTCTTTATTTTTGCTTATCTCTGAAAACCTCTGATTTTATTTCTATTATCTCTGCTATTATTTTGGTCAATCTTCTCTCTCTCTCGATATATATATTTTCAATACGGTGAAAAATTCTCTCTCTCTATTTTCAATACGATGAAAAATTCTCTCTCTATGTATTTTCAATACATGACTGATGAGGCATATTTTTTTTCCTGCAGTAGGTTGCCATTTCTTTCTGCGGTAGACCAGTTGCCATCCAAGGCTATAGAACCTGGTCTGTCCTGCTATTTACCCATAGATGGCAAGAGAAGAGGAGGATATATACCTTTCCAAAGAGTATTAATGAATGAAATGGACTTGACTGGAATTTGAACTCTGCTCTCCGATTCCTCAATCCAAGCCGCTATCCATTACTCCATTGAGCCAATCTAGTACTGTGCTTAAATTCATAAAGTCTAGGTACCAGAGAGGAAAACAATTACCATGAAAATTTTTATAGAAAAGGCACAGGGAAGCTATATAGATTCTGGTTAGTTGGACCATAAATCTCAGGTGTATCACTTTCTGAATGACTTTCATCTTTTACTCTCGTTTGTTTACCTTCAGTGTCTAGTCAAAACTAAGTTTTGATGATATTACATTAATAGTAAGACCTCCCGAGTTGCAATTTCACACTGATCACATGATTAGTGGTAAGAAAATATCTTCAGAAAGACTTGTTAAGTTTTGAACTGAATAGAAAATTAGAATCACTGTAAGTGAAATATTCAAATGAGTAAGATGTTTTAAATACGTGCAAAATACAGTTGAAAAAAAAAGTGATGGCTGAAAAATGAAGAATAGAATTTTACCTTGGTTGGAACACTGATCTCCAGATAACTATCGGAGTTACAAGACTGTTTCTTTTGGATATGCATAAACATTTCAAAACTTTTTTTTTTTTTTTTAATAATTGAAAAATTTTATTTTTCAGCCTGAAAATATACTTTTATCTACAAATGATGAAGATACATTAATAAAGGTAATGTCTTTTTATAAATTGTATTTGTGTATATTTTCTTTCTTCCAGAAGAGTTAGTCTTTCACTGTAGAATGTTTTATTTTTAACAAAAAGGTAGAGAAAATCAGAAAGTTGACCCGTCCTGGGTATGACAATAAACTACGTCCAACAGCAAAGCCTCTCCTCAGGAGGTTTTCAGCAGCGTGGAACCATCTCTTAATTGCTGGTGTTCTCAGGTTGACCCTGACCTGGGGTGGTAGCACCTGTTAGGGTGCCAACTATGGGCAAATAGTTAACCCACAAACTGAAGTCAAAACACTATGAAAGTGTAAATATAGGTTTTAATACCAGGAATAATACATTTTTTAAGAAAAAATATTACCATCAGTAAATTTTTTAAGAAAAAATTATTACCAGCAATAATATATTTTTTAAGAAAAAATATTACCAGCACTAAAAATTTTGTCAGTATAACAAATAACCTATTGGGGTTGATATACCATAAAATAAAACAAACCAAACTGAAAGTGTTAATGAAACTTGATTTGCAAAGTGATTTTCTTTTTTATATATATATATATATATATATATATATATATATATATATATATATATATATATATATATATATATATATAAATCCAGGGATAGCTCTATGTTAGAAACAGAGCAATAATTCTTATTATAAAAGGCACAAACACTAAAACTTCTTGAGGTAATAATTTATTTCTTGAGGGTTGTAAAAATGGCCACAATTCATCAGACCTTCAAATCCAAAAGAAAACAGAAAATATTTATCCAGGTTTAAATAACAAAATTTATGTGAAAGTGGGGGAGGGGGGTTGGAAAGAAAGATGTGTAAGTAAGATTGAGAGAGAAGAGTGAAAATAAAGATATAGAAATAAGGACAGGAAAAAAAAAAAGCACATATGAGATTGTGGAATGTAAAATGATGAAATCATTCAGAGGAAGTAATTTTAAAAAAAAATTAGATTGACATGAATAGAAGCTATTTTCAGTTGAAACAACTGACTTTCGATTTGTTGACCTAATTTAAAATGCAGACTACGGAAAACATGGCTACATCAATTGTGACAGTTAAAGACACATGAAGGGGTGGGGAAAAGGAGAAAAAGGAAAGAACAAGGGAAGGGAATCAAAATATTCTGTCTGGCTTATGGTTATTATACTTATGTATACATTAAAAAGAAAGAAAAGGAGCCTTTAATATTAAAGATATGACTCTAGATGTGACACTAGAAAATAATCAAGTATATGTCTACTAAGATTACAAATATACCAATCTAATTTCATATAAGCATTTGTTTACATATATATAAACAAACCTTTTAATATTATATAGCTTGTGACCCCAGTTCTGGATAAAATTATATTTTACATGTTCAATTTCTAACATATACATAGCAATGATAATACTTAGAATTAAAAAAGGAGGAGTTTAATTAGGCAAACAATACAATAATCACATCACCCACAAATAATTTACACACAAGTAGCTAGGGATTCACACATGATTGTATAGGTGTTGCTTCCAACTTTTTTTTTCTTTTTTAAACCTATCATCTTTACACTATTTTCAGGTAACTGACTTTGGTCTTTCTAAATTCTTTGATGCTGGGAGTATGTTGAAGACGTTTTGTGGCACCCCTACGTATGTTGCCCCTGAAGTTCTTTCCTCTGCTGGTCGTGGAACATACACAAAAGCAATTGATTGCTGGAGTTTGGGAGTCATTCTCTTTGTTTGGTAAGTGGCATTATGCTTCCCATTTATTTGCCGATTCCTTTACAGGTTTATTATGATTTGGCCGAAACTGAATTAGTTGTATTTGCATCCAGGCAAAAACCAAAATTTCCAGTGCTCATTTTGAAGATCTGCAACCCCCTCACAACTTGGATGCTTGGGCAATGCATTCTTCCTACCCAGCTTATTCAGCTGTCAAAATTGAGCAAAACTAAATATCAACAAGTTGTTTATCATGGATAAGATTTATTAAACAAATAGATTAAAACAATTATTTATATGAACGATTCCATATAGAGTTTACACATTAAATTTGCTAAAAGGCTTTAAAAGGATGAATCAGATGTCGACATTTTCAGTGAACATTTAGTTTAGATATAATCCTTGTTTCGGATTGGTACTTCAACCTACAAAATTTGTTTGCTGTTTGTATTTTAGCAAATAGGTTTTTTATGTGGTGGGATTGCATTAAGTGAAGGAGAATAAGTGAATTCCACTCCAGGCTTTTAATTCAAAGTTGCTCTTTTCTAGACTCGTTGCCCAACAAGGCTAGAGAACCTGTTATTTAACCCATAGCTGGAGAAGCAAATATAATATGAATTTGGAATGTTGATTATGTGTACATTTCTCCTAAAATTACTATGCATTCTTGTATCCTGTTGCTTGGGTTAATGGTACTAGACTAACACCCAAAAAATCAGGTTTGACATGCATGTTCCCTGAAGCCTCCCACCCCATTGAATATATATATGATTATAAATGATTGAATTATGATTAAAAATCAAAATAATGTTGAAATGAAATTATATATAATGATGAAATCTAGTTTTAAGATATGCTATATTTATGGGTGAAAATGCATGTAAATATGAAAAGTGCACTTTTGAGGCCAATATCCACAGGTGACAATCTGTTTCATGCTTATATGCAATTGTCAGGCTATATGCATTGCTTTTTGGTCGTCCATATATACAGGTCAGTGATGCATTGTGGATAGTCTATTTTTTGGTGAGCGGTAATAGTTATGTTTTGAAATATTCTAGAGGCTATTGGGTGGAAATAATTTTGGATCTGAATACAGTTTTTTGGCTATTTATAGTGTTGTTAAGAGAAAAAGCACAATGGATATGGACTGACAATTGCATTTAATTATGAAACACTGTCACTGCTGGGTCTTGACTTCAATGTCTCCACACACACACATTATTGAATTTATTATTGTCATCTAAATATATTCTTTGCTGAAGTATTGTTCCTTATATATTTGTACGTTATATTGTGAAAAATATGGTCTCACTTTCTCTTATACAGTCAACAAAGAAATTATTTGTACACCCATCAATTTTGAATATTTTTATCCATTTCTCAGAAATCTAATGCCTGTATCATACCAGGTTTTGTATATGTTAATAAGCACCAAAAAAAAAAAAAAATATAAAACTCAATTTTCAGAACAATAGGTTAGATACAATAAAGTTGACAGTTGACTTATGCAAAACCGGAAACGACAAAATTATTTGTACAGTAGAAAATATCATTTTAAATTTATTTGTGTAAGTATAAGTAATTTACATAATTATTTTATCAGTGAAGCCTTCTAAACTATTTATTCAGTAGAATATTTGTGATAATCTCAGCAAAGAACATTACATGGTGCATAGTTTCACCATTGTTATTATATTAACAACATGATGAGAAAGACAAAGGATTGACTTGAGACAGAGAATTATTAATTTCCATAAGTCGAGAAATAGTTACAGCATTATTTCAAACCAGTTGGCTATTCCTAGATTTACGGTACATTTATAAAGAAGTTTAAACAGTTTGACACAACATAGAATTTGCATGTGCATGGAAGAAAAATGGGTTATATAGAAACCAACCACGACAAACCCCCTCTTCAAAACCATGTCATATTGTTGCTCGGTTTAATTTTGCCAAAATGTTCTTGGACAAAGAAAATTGCTTTTGGGAACAAGTACTATGGAATGATGAAACTAAAATTGAGCTTTTTTGGACATAAAGATGTACAGATTTGGCACAAGAAAGGTGAAAATTTCCTACCAAATAACAGTGGCCATGTTAAAACATGGCAGCAGCTCAATGATGTGTTGGAGTTGTTTTAGTTCAAGGGGACTACAATTAATTTCAATAAGAGGAATAATGAAAATTGCGCACTATATCAAAATTCTGGGTGAAAATCTACAACTATCAGTGCAAAATCTTCATCTAGGTTGGTGATTTACTTTCCAGAAAGATAATAATCCCAAACATACATCTAAATTAGTGACTGCCTGGCTTCAGAAAAAGATTAGTTCTGCAATGGCCTTTACTGAGTCCTGACTTGAATCCTATTGAAAATCTATGGAAAGTTTGAAAGTTTGAATAAATCGTCAATCATCAAAAAACCTTCAAGAATTAGAACATGTAATCATTGAAGAATGGAAGAAAATCTCATCAAAATCTTTAGAAAACAATTGTAGCAAATTATAAAGATGATAGTTCATGCTACTGACTATGAATATTGTGAAAATTGTTAAATTTTTTCTGTTTTTTCATACTGTAGGAATAATTTTGTCTTTTCCTATTTTGCATAATTTGACTGTCAAATTTGTTGTATTTAACCTATTGCTCTGAAAATTGAGTTTTATATTCCTTTTTTGTGCTTATTAACATATAAAAAACATGGCACCATACGGGCATTAGATTCTGAGAAATGGATAAAAATATTCATAATTGATGGGTGTACAAATAATTTTATCATTGACTTATATAAAATGTGTGTGTATATGAATTAAGGTTCATATATATTATTGTGGAGATTGCTAGCATCTAGATCTGTCTAATGCAAGTTACTGACATGCAAATCTGTCCAATAGAATTGAATGGAAAGTTGTAGAACTCTCTAAAATGTTTTAATCACACTGCTGTATAAACAATGTAGGATAAATGTTTATTTGTCTTTTTGCCTTTGTCCTGTCCCATTACAAACTATTGGAGAGACTGTTAATTAGCCTATCAGGATTATTGCTGTGCTTTCTCTGCAAATGAATGAGAAAACACAACAAACTGGTGTTGCCAATAGAATAAGACTAGTTTGATTTTGGTTTTTGTTTTACGGTATATCAACCTCAATGGGTTACTTAATGCTGACAACTTTTTTTTCCTGGTAATATTTTGTTTTGTCAAAAATCTATTTCTGGTAATGTTTTTCCTCCAAAATGTATAGCTGGTAATATTATTTCCAAAAGCGTATTGCTGGTAACATTTTTTTTCAAAAAAATATTTTGCTGGTAATAGTTTTTTTTTCCTTCAAAAATTTATTTCTGGTAATAATTTTTTTACAAAGTATTTCTGGTATTAAAACATATTTTTACACTTTTATAATATTTTTTACCTCAGTTTCAGGGTTAACTATTTGCCCATAGATGGGACCCTAACAGGTACTACCACCCCGGGTCAGGGTGGACCTGTGAACACCAGCAATTAAGAGGTGGTTCCACGCTCCTCAAAACCTCCTGATCAGAGGCCTTGCTGTTGGACGTAGTTTATTGTCTTACCCTGGACACGCCAATAGGATAAGAATGACTATCCTTTGATTACTTTGACAAGAATGGTGGAACAATAGGGTGAGCTGATTAAGTTATTCACACAACACCGTTTCATTGTGCAAGAACATTTCAAGTTCTGAATTGACATGCAACATAAGCCAGGTGAAACTCTGCAGGAGTTGTCAGTGCCTTTAAGTCAAAACACTGCTACTTGTGACTTTCCTTTGAACACTAACCCACAAGATGAAGCTCTTAGGCAGAGATTCACTTGTTCTATCAACAATGAAGCTTTCTTGAAGGCTTTTTTCAAGATCAAGGACACAGAGCTGAAATTTGCTCATTCAGTCCAGGTCATTATTGAGACCAAAGACACGGTGAATGTTGCCAAGGAAACTGTTTATGGATCCAAGACCAGGCCTTTCAAAAAGGTCAAGCAGAGCCAGAGCAAGGGTCAACAAAAAAAAATATTAGCAGCCTAATTCCACCGACCCTGAATATAAGTGTTACAGATGTGGAAAGGCTCATAAAGTGACAGACTTCTCCTACAAAGAAGTCAAATACCATTTTTGTGATAAGATGGTACATTTGGAAGCTGTTTGTAGAAAGAAACAATGACAGCGATAGGAACATCATTCCCAACCTTCTGCGAAGTGAATCACAAAATCAGATCTTGTCAAAATGATCATCAGTGAAATTCTTGACAATACTTCTAGGTTGGTTGTGCTAATCACAATCCAGGATTTGAAACTTCATGATGGAACTGGATACTACAACTACAGGAAATTTCATTTCTTGGTCAGTCTGGAACCTACTAGGAAAACTGAAATTGGATGATGTCAGACATTGTTATGACCCTGCCAGCAAGCACAACCTGCCTGTGCTGAGAACTTTTATGGGCCAAACCAAGGATCCAAGGACTGGTAAACAAAGCTCAGTTTCCAAGATCCCTGACCTAATCTTGCAGGGATGTATCTCTATCCAAACACTGGGAATCTCTGTGGACAATGTTATTGGACTAAGATGCATAGAAAGTTGAAATGCAAGTCCCAAGACCTCTAACAAACCTTATGCTTCCCTGCAATGACATTACCACAATCTCCATGATGAGTTCCCAGATCTTTTCAAAGAAGAATTTGGATGTCTTAAGGATTTTGAACTAGAAGTAAAGTTCAAGTCTGATGTGAAGCCAGTTTTTCACAAGGTATGAACAGTTCCATTTGCTCTTCGGAATGACCTGGTCAAAGGTTACAAAGAAGGCATCTCAAAAGGAGTTTGGAATAAAGTCCAATTCAGTGAATATGGAACACTTGTGGTACCGATTTGTAAGACCCATAGTCTGGGCACCCTGGAGCCAAAGTTGCAGATCTGTGGTCTCTACTCAGTGGGCATCACCTGTCAACTAGAGGAACACCATCATCTGATGCCACAGATGCTAGGAGGTGGATATGGTTACACAAAGATTGACTTTGTTGATGCCTACAGCCAGATCAAGCTGGCACCAGAGAGTCAGCCAAGGCTAGCACTCAGCACTCACCTGAGAGTACTCCTGCAGCAACAACTCCCATTTGAAATCAAGTCTGTGCTTGGTTACTTCCAGATCATGAAGAACTTAACCGGTGATCTGCTTGGAGTTGCCATCTTCGAAGAAGATATGTTTATCAGTGGGAAAAGACGTCAATGATCACTAGAGGAACCTGAGGCATTTAGTTTTTTGTTTGAACAAGAAAGGATGCTGTGAAAAGTGCCTGTTCGCACTAAGCAGTGTGGAATATCTTGGCTATACCTTATCAGCCAAAGGAATCCGCCAGGGATCCAAGGTTGAGGCAGTCATGATGATGCCACCTTCAACAGACATCTTAAGCTTATACTTTTTCTTGTGCTCAGTTCAGTCTTATGGGAAGTTCATGCCAAACCTGCTCACTATGACCAAGCCACTTTACTGTTTAACCAAGAAAGCAGCTCCCTGGAAATGGGGAGATGACAAACAAGCAGTGTTTGACCAGTTGAAAAACGTATTATCCTCAGATCAAGTCCTCGTACATTTTAACCCAAACAAGCCTTTTGGGCTGGCTTGTAACACATCCAACATTGGAATTGGAGCAGTCCTGTTTCATCGCTACCTGGATGGAAGCAAGCATCCAATTACCAACATGTCCAAGACTCTCACCTCTGCAGAAAGAAACTACAGCCAAATCCACAAGGAAGCCTTAGCCATTATCTTTGGCTTGCGGAAATTCTACTAGTATCTGTAAGGACGTTTATACTCGTTACTGATCATAAACCACTGATGGCACTGTTTAGCCCTAAAAGAGGGACTCACTTCCTGCAGCTAACCAGCTATCTCAATGGGCCCTGTGGCTAAACCAATTTGACTACACAATTGAGTACCAGAAAACAATGGATTATGGCAATACAGATGCCCTTAGTCACTTGCCATCTGGAGATGACAATGACTCTGACAGGGAGGAAAGTGGAGAAGATATGGAAACAGTGTGTGCTATCAAAGTTCTCAGTTTTCAAGTCAAACCTGTAGATGCCAACATACTCTGTCAAGTATTGCAATTAGATCCAGTGACCCAAAGAGTGTGAGTTCAATACCTGGTTAAGGCAGTGGAGAACTTGAAGAGGGGAATTAACAGGAGATAACTGATAACAGACATCCATTAAACATGGCACATGGAACTAGAACAGTCTACCCCAGTGAGTGAAATAAAGGGTTCAGTTCGATATTCCAACCACCTGAAGAAGGCCGGAGCATACAATGGCCGAAATGTAATAAATATGGCAGCAAAGATGACAATAGTCCGAATAGTGTACATAATACCTCATCTCGGAAATATAGACATATACATCAAAATAAGTCATCCAGACCTGCAGTTCACCCAAGGGGTATTGCCAGAGAAGTCATGGAGCTGCTTACATGTAAATCATGCCATCAACTTCATGGGTACAATCTGTTTGGTGATCACTGATGCTTTCTCACAGTATCCATGTATTCGCCCAACATGATCCACATCCACTAGAGGCATTCTAGATCTGCTGGACATGGATTTTGCTCACTTTGGATCCCTTCACATGCTGGTTACGGATCGACTTTCCTTTCGGAAGAATTTCAGAGCTGGTGCAAAGAATGGGGGTCCTCCATCTGACAGGAACACCGTACCATCCAGCTCACAATGGAGCAGCACAAAGTTTGGTGCAGACTTTCAAGCAAGCACTGAGAAAGGTTTCTCTTCCCCCTGAAGAGAGTTCTTGATGCAGTACCAGAGAATGCTGACATCCTTTGGATTCTCTCCAAGTGAAACCCTTGATGTCCTGTCAGATATGGACTAGGATTAATTCTCTGCTGCCTTTGCCAGCACATATAGCTCAGGGCAAGCAATTCAAGGTGTTATCGAAGGCTGAGATGACTCGAAACTTGAGAGGTGTCGCCAAAGTAACCAGGCAGTACAAGGCTGGTGATTCAGTACTGTACTCTGGACCTCACCAAGGCAAACATCCCTAGTAGGTACCGCAGGATTATCAACATGTGTGTCTAGGGAAAAGGTTTAGCATATGTTGCAGTATCAAAACATGATTGCCAGATTTGGCTGTATGATGCAAATTGATTTGCATAAAAGCTCACCAATAAGAAATTTTGAATTTGCTTTCTGAAATGCTGCAAGTGAACTACAATATGTTGTGGAATAGGACAAGAAGTGGCTAGTTAATTTTAATGCCTCTAAAATGAAAGGGATCTCTATTAATAATCTAAAAGAAACTTTTTTTTACCTTCTATCAGCATGGCTGATGCTAACCTCCAGGAGAGAAACTCACTCCATCTTCTTGGTTTCATATTTTTCACTGACATGAAGTGAAATGATTATATTGAATCATTTGCTGATTGGAAAGTTGCTTCACTATGTTGTGCTAGACAATTTTTCTCACTAGCATATATCTTGCATGTTTATATCTTGCATGTTTATATGTTTACCATTTGACTGTGCATCAAATATTACTGCCACATCTGGTCTGGTACTTGTGCAATATATATATCTAAAGATTCTTGAAAAAAATCCAAAAAATTGGCAATTTTAACAGTCCTGACCTGGCATCTTAGCTTCAGTCACTTTCCCACTGCCATTAACATAGCTTCTCTTTACCTTTTCTATGAATATTTTTATAGTCGTTGTCCAGATGAGCTTTCCTTTTTGGTACATCAACTTCAAAAATTTCTCATAAATTTCTTTTCTATTTACAGCCTAGTTGGCTATCCTCCATTCTCAGAAGATAGAAAAGATATGAAACTCCCAGAACAAATCGTCGGTGGACATTATTCCTTTCCAAAACAATACTGGGGAGACATCTCATGTGAGGGTAAGAAGAAGTGGATTCATGCCTTATTTTCATTCATAGATTCCATTTTTCATAATGGTAACACTGAGGTTACCTCTCTAAGTTGGCTTTCTTGCCTCCTTCCACTTACTGTCTGTTTTCTCTCCACATTCCTCTTCCTCTCTGTCCAGTTTATCTCCCCCTTTCACTCTTCCTCTCTGTCCAGTTTATCTCCCCCTTTCACTCTTTCTCTCTGTCTGGTTTTTCTTTCCCTTCTTCTCTCTCTTTCCCTTCTTCTCTCTCTTTCCCTTCTTCTCTCTCTTTCCCTTCTTCTCTCTCTTTCCCTTCTTCTCTCTCTTTCCCTTCTTCTCTCTCTTTCCCGTCTTCTCTCTCTTTCCCGTCTTTTCTCTCTTTCCCTTCTTTTCTCCCTCTCTCTCTTTCCCTTCTTTTCTCCCTCTCTCTCTTTCCCTTCTTTTCTCCCTCTCTCTCTTTCCCTTCTTTTCGCTCTCTCTCTCTCTTTCCGTTCTTTTCGCTCTCTCTCTCTCTTTCCCTTCTTTTTTTCTCTCTCTCTCTTTTTCCCTTCTTTGGCTCTCTCTCTCTCTCTTTCCCTTCTTTTTCGCTCTCTCTCTCTCTTTCCCTTCTTTTCGCTCTCTCTCTCTCTTTCCCTTCTTTTCGCTCTCTCTCTCTCTTTCCCTTCTTTTTGCTCTCTCTCTCTCTCTTTCCCTTCTTTTTGCTCTCTCTCTCTCTCTTTCCCTTCTTTTCGCTCTCTCTCTCTTTCCCTTCTTTTCGCTCTCTCTCTCTCTCTTTCCCTTCTTTTCGCTCTCTCTCTCTCTCTTTCCCTTCTTTTCGCTCTCTCTCTCTGTCTAAAATTCTGTCTTCCTCTTTTTGCAGTCATTCATTTAAACAATTTGGGGCATTTTTTTTTTTTTTTTATTAGAAAAGCTTCACCTCTTCCTTTTTGCTCATTGATAAGTTTGGTGTTTTTGTAGAAACGTTTGCCATTCATAGATCAAGCTTTTGGTTAAAATTTGACATTCCAAAAGCTGGGCAGAGTATTGTGAGACAGGAGGATTTCTTTGGTATTACTTGACAACTGTCCTCCTTTTCGGCAACGAATGTTGGATGATCTCCCCAAAGATGAGGTTGATACTCACAGCAACAGATATGGTTCTACAGAAGGATGCTGAGGATATCATGGACTGAGTGTGTGAACATCGATGAGATCTTGGAGAGGATGCAAACAAGGAGGAAGCTTATACTTAACATCAGGAAGAGGCAGTTTCTGGGACATGTAATGAGAAAGGAGGGCCTGGAGAATCTGATGCTCACAGGTTGGATAGAGGGAAAAAGAGACAAGGGAAAGCAATGCATGATATACCTGGTGGGCTTAAGCAAGTGGATGACAATGTAGTCTGGGGGAGGAGGCAGATATTGGTAGCAGATATTGATTTTTTTTTTTTTTATTAAAGATCGTCCTTATACCAACTATATAAATATCTGTCATTGGCCTTATCCTACTCATCAGTACAGTGGCCTCAGGAGGGGGAATAAAAAAAAACACTGTTTTCTATTAGTAGATTCATTTGATATGTGATTTGGGATGCGTGAATGATCAGTGCCCATCTCTTTATATCTGTGCTTGTATATGCACAGTGTTATGTCCACATGCAGCCCAAAAACACACTTTACACTTAGCAACCAATCTCTCTAATAATATAACTATGAAGTGTGTAACTCAACAATTCAACTGGTGATAGCAGGTAGGCACAAAGAAAACCGGGTCGACGTCCAACCTTCTCCACGAGCGAAAGCCTTTCCGTTTTAAACAGCAGAAACGAGCCTGCTTTATACAGCTGCGGACCGACCACGATTTGCATCACGAATCACGAGGCAAGCGAGATTTCCGTTAACTGACCGAGACTATTTCGGCATAAAAGCGGGCGCCGCCATTTTGGTTTTTCTTTTTACAGTTGGAAGGACCAGTGTTTACATACTGCGCCCAGATTGAACAGCGTTTCCGAGGTAGGCCATTTTCACAATTTTCCCCACACTCCCCCTGATCTCATGATCACAAACAGGGCAGGGAGGTGGCGATCGTCGCCGTCGAGTCCCTCTCCGAAGGGGATAACACAAGCTTCATCCTCGTCGTGTTCTCGTCTGTGGTTTGAGTGTCGGTAAACACTGTGTCCGCCGGGAGGCTGCTGTTATCAGAATCGCTGCCCTGCAGGTCTAACTCAAGGCAGATTGAACGCTCACTACTCCCCAGACTCGAATCGCTTTCATCGCTCGGTAGCGGTAGTGATTGCGTCACCGGTCGCAAGTCTTTAATGTGACGGGCACCCCATCAACTCTCACAGATTGCGGGCTGATAACCTCCGTAACACGTCCAGTGCCGTGCTTTTGCCGTACACTTGCCGGCGTGGGTTTTTGACCCAAACGATGTCTCCTTTTTTCAATCTCCCTCCAGTCACTTCTAGTTCAGGCAGCGGGTTGGCTTGATGCCCCTCACGCGGACATGATATTTGTGCAGTGCATCAGCGGCGCCGTGGATGGTGAAATGTTATCGCCAGGCGACATTATACCAATAAACCGCTTCGAAACTGTGCAGCCCTTCCTGGCTGCGATGGTCTTGATGGTTCTGTGGTTCCGCTCCACGATGCCGTTTCCACTTGGCGGTAGGCACATCGAAACCGCAGATGCGCGTCCCCAAGTGTCCGCAAAATTCTTTAAAATCTTTTACTGGTGAAGCGCAGTATCGTTATCCGTCCAGTATTTCCATGGGTGGGCCTGGCTCCAGGAAAACATTCTCCAACAGTCGAATGACGGTGCTCGCGTCTTGTCGCGCGCGGCACCGCCATACCGCGAACCTGGAGGGACCGCAATCAATGAGTGTTAAAAATTCTCACCATTGTAGTGAGTTATGTCCATTGCCAGTCTGCTCCAGTTGCTCTTCACGCTCAGTTCTCCTCTTTCCCAGTGAACGGGTGCGGATCGATCGACTGACAGGTTGTGCAGGCCTTCACAACGGATTTAACTTTTCTCTGGACACCTGCGGTCGACTAACCCATGGTACAGGGTTCGTTTCACGCCCCGGATGTCCGCATTGACGTCGCGTATTGGCAACCTGGTCCTCATCCAGTCGTCTCCCTGCCACTGCACAGCTCTCGAGTGCCGGTTCTCCTCTCTTGAGCAGTTCTAGCCACCTGTGCGGTACTCTGGTGAGGCGATCTGCACGGTTCTGACAGGACTGCACAAGTGTCCGTCTCCACGGTCAATCCATATTCGTCCACCAACGATCGCAGAAATGCCCAGCCGTCGCCTGACCAGCATCTCACCAACCGCCCTTGTGTTCACCCGTGCCTTCGGTCAAGGTGTCTGAAATCCACCGGTGCACACACGCCGAATCAGTGACCAAGTGCAACGTTGTCGCCTCCCCACTGGAGAGCCAGATTCCTCCTTTAAGCGCGCCGATCGAGTTCAGCCAAATTAATGTGCCTGGCATCATTAGTCGGACGCAGCCAGCACGCATCTTCGATGACATTTTCGTTTACTTCCAATGCCACTCCTGTCGCCACGGAACTCGCATCCACCCAGACTGTGATCTCGCCACCACTCATGCACCAGTCTCCTCCCACGGGATCCAGTTCCCACTCTACTTTAACATCTCTGCTAGTATCGACAGAGAGAGGGATCTTTGATGTTATCATCCCATCCATTGGTTGCTGCGGTTGCCAGGCGCTTGACGAATGCAACTGCCACCCTGAGCCATCCACACACTGGGAAGTGTCCAACAAGTTTCCACACAATCTAAAATACGCGCCGCCCGGTCAACACATCAGGGGCTTCGAATTTGACTTCCTCGTTTCCATCGGAGGGTGCCATTTTCTTCCCAGACCTGCAAGCCAGAACTCTTGCTCCATCTCTCAGTCGCACCGGATCCTTGCACACCAAACCGTAATCCGAAAAGTGTTGTCTTACACGCGATGCAGAGGCCAAACTTTCATTAATGAAGATATCATCAACATTATGCTGATGTGGCACTTTCAATTGTGCGGTCTTGCGATGCGATGGCGTCTATAACGGATTTCATGATGAGTGGCGCTACATTTAGCCCAAATCCTAGCAGCGTAAGACAGAAGCGTTGGCCTTTGAAAATAACCGTTTGAAATGGCCACAGCGCTTCGTCGATGTGAATCTGAAGATATGCGTTCCGCCCAGATCCAGAAGCGACACATTGACTCCCTGCCACCGCCACGTTCTCAACTTAATGCGCACACTTCTGCGCCGGCAGTGAAAGCATCCACAAAGTCGTTCAATTCGCGGTAATCAGTACCCGGACGCACCTTCTGTTTCTGCTCCTGCACGACTGCCATCAAGGGAATCAGACCCTTTGGGGGTCCCAGTCTTTCCTGGGGTATGGAATCAGCCAGCCGTTCACAATCCACTGCTGAAGCTCTTTCTCGTATTTTCCTCTGATGCTATCTGGAACTTTGTACTCAGCGACCTTGTTGCGAAGCTGAACTGGCGGGTCTTTTGGGCCCATTTCCACCTGGCGGTCCACACTCTCTCGCCGGAATTGAAGGAGACGTCGAAACCGCTCACTAACGCAAGGGCTGCACACACCTTTCTTCTTTCACCCAGTTCCACATTTCCGGCTGGCGTGATCATCATGCCTCCTAACGCCGGATCGCATCAATCCCAAGTAGCAGGTCGTACCCGAGGGGCCTTTGGCGTGCCACCAAGGCGTCAACTTTGGCATGACTCCCTCCGTCTGTTAGGACTGACACAGTCCCGACACCACAACAGGCCGGGACACCCGTCAATCGTCCGAATCTCGATTTGTTGACTGTTCCATGTCACGCGATCGATCCGCGCTAACGATCGATCGGGAACATCCAGTGTATGGCGCCGAACATCGTTTACCCTCAACGCACACGTTGATAACAGGCAATGCCGCATTTACTGACCGGGGGCAAGGGTTGCGACAGCACCTTGTCCCCGGACTCATTCGAGCAATCCTGTGCTACATGGCCTAACTCTTTGCAGCGATAGCAGCGTAGTGCGACGGTTCCGCCTGCCGCTCCTCCCTCGTCCGCCGGCTCCGGCAGTCCCTAGAGAAATGGTTGGGTCCCACTTGTAGCACTTTGGGCCCTCCTCGGTGTCTCAGGCGTTCTCCGGCTGCCGCGATCTGTTCCGTGTCCTTCAAGATGTTTGGGCCCTGGCTAGCAATTCGTCAATTCCCAGTGTGTCCAATCTTGAAGGCGCCGCAGGAGCCGACTGGTGTCGTCTGGAAGCCCTGCCAGGAAGGCGCACCCCAGTATGCGGTCCATTGCTCCGCCAAACGGTACTGCCAGCCTTCGCCAAATCAGCCAGGTAAACATCCACGGTCTCACCGGCTCGAGCCGTCGTCCGACCGAACTGTTTCCAAGCGATGAATGGATCTATTCAAAGGCCGTATACAGGCGTCCTTGATCTCTTCTAGGTCAGCATCGCCCCCGAAGTTGTTGATATACTCGTAGGCTCCTCCCGTGAGTCTCAGTGGGATGACTAGTGCAGGTTCCTTTATTTTGGACACCCTGCAAACACGTTCGGGCCTTTTCAAACCATTCAACGATAGTCGGGCCCGTGGGGAGCCGTCGAATTCTGGGATCAACTTTAGATCGAACTTGTCCATTGCGAAATAGCTTGAAGTGTGTAACTCAACAATTCAACTGGTGATAGCAGGTAGGCACAAAGAAAACCGGTCGCACGTCCAACCTTCTCACGAGCGAAAAAGCCTTTCCGTTTTAAACAGCAGAAACGAGCCTGCTTTTATACAGCTGCGGACCGACCACGATTTGCATGCGAATCACGAGGCAACGAGATTTCACGTTAACTGACCGAGACTACCGGCATAAAAACGCTGGCGCCGCCATTTTGGTTTTCTTTTTACAGTTGGAAGGACCAGTGTTTACATACTGCGCAGATTCGAAGCAGCGTTTCCGAGGTAGGCCATTTTCACAATTTTCCCCACAAACTAACATGTGAACTTCCCCTCTCTCTTTAAATATATAATAGTGGTCTCTGACTACAAAAACAATTAGGTCAAACAAGCTGTCGATTACAGCAACAGATCTGAACCAAAGCTAAAACTAGATTCTTTCACATGATCGAGTACGAATGTTGAGCAGGAAAAGATTGATAGAAGCCAGTTGGGTGACAAAATTTGAAGGAGTTGGACCATCTATTAAATTCTCATGTGAATAGATTCTCCAAACTGTAAAAAATGAATGCTGTTCCCAACTCACACAAATTCCAAGTACAGAATCAAGTGGAAACAAGTCTTGTGTGAATAGTATCTCTTTTACTTGTTACAGTCAAGCAACAGAGATCACACAGTAAAATACAAATTCCAATTAAACTCAACATTATGCTGCTTACATTTAATGCATAGGTGAATTGAGGAACATGACAATCACCTAAGGCAGGCATATGTGATGCATTCAATTGGATGTCAGATCTGAATAATGAATACTGCATTGCTGATTATAAGACTTCTGCAGCACCTAATCTTCATAAGTGAATAATGGAGGCTGCAGTCAAAGTAAAACGGACAAAGAGAAACATAAGAGAAAAGAGAAAATCTTATTTTATTGCAAAAGAAAAGCTAAGTTTTTTGTTTCAACTTTTAACCTCAGAAGATAACGCATACATCTTTCCACACAGAAAAGTTCAACTTCATTGCCATATTCACAATATTTCGATCATTGTACGCTCCAGCCTTCTTCAGATGATTGGAATTTCAAACCGAACACTTTATTTTGTCCACCAGGTATGTTGTTCTAGATCCACGTGCTATGCCTCTTCTGGATTTCTCAGTTATTTTCTTTTAACTCAACACTCCAAGTTTTGGTTCACCACTGCTGTGGCCTGGTATTGAACTCACAACTCTTTGGGTCTAGTCACTGAACCAAATGATGAACCAAAACTTGGAGTGTAGAGTTAAAAGGAAATAACTGAGACATCCAGAAGAGGTGGAACTAGAACAATCTTACCTGGTGGATGAAATGAAGGGCTTGGTTTGAAATTCCAATCACCTGAAGAAGGCCAGAGTGTACAACGGCCGAAATGTTGTAAATATGGCAATGAAGATGAGGATAATAGTCTAAATAATGTAAGTAATCTCAGAGATATAAACAGATACACAGAAACATCTTCCCATGCATTCACTTATCTAAACGTTTTCCTATATTGCCTAGTTAGTTATAATTAAATCTTATTAATTTGTACATTGACATTTGTCGTTTGTTGTTATTGGTTGTCCTTCCAAATTAATGTACTTGACCCTGTGGAGAATCCTTTCACTATGGAGTAAAAAGATTAAATCGATTGGGGCTCTTGTTTCATCCTTGTTGTACTCCTGATAAGATTTTAAATGTTTCAGACATGAATGACTTTGTAGATCAATATAGTTCAGAGCTAGACTTTGATATACTTGAAAGCCAGTTTCAAATGGATGAGAAGAGGAAGTCTCTACTGATATGGTCTATATGCCGCAGAGCCATCAACATTGCTGCTATACAATTTTCTGTTAGAGGAGAGTATGGAATTTTCTGGAATTGTTTGATGATATATCTGCCATCATTACATTCTTTACCAGAACAAAAGCATGTTTGGTTGTGAGGAGTTCATTTTCATAGAATGGTGTGAGTCTAGTTAATACAATGTTTGTTAGTACTTTCACCATAATGGATCCAATCGAGATATCTCTGTATATGCAAGGGTCTTGAGGACAATCTTTTTGTTGCATTTATGTACTTAATAGATTAGTACTTGTAAAATCCTTAATAATCCTATTATGCTCCGATGTGAAGAACTAAAGAAATTGGATTTGTTTCCTTCGACTGTTTGTTTTCTTTTCTTTGTAGCTATTGACCTTGTGAAAAAACTTCTGACTGTTGATCCATCAAAAAGAATCACATTGAAAGAAACATTAGAACATCCTTGGCTCGTAAGTATCAGACTCTCTCTTACCTGGCTCGACTGCATTGGGGGGATGTCAGGCAATTAAACTTATTATTGCTGTGGACCTTCTGCAATAAAAGAAATTCAATTTTCAAAATTATGTTGTTAGAATTTTAAAAATCTACTTGTCTATATTTTTTTAATACAATTTAATTACAGCAGAATTCTGAATAAATTACTGTTGCTGTTTGTGGCATATAAGACCCTCTCACCTTGAATTTATATTTAATATTATGGAGTTAAGCCAGGTACAAGTACTGGTTGTCTATGGCATTTGGGTAAGTAATTGACTGCCAGATATATTCCAATGTTCCGTATAAGACAATGGGCTTGTGTGGCATCTGGAATTTTTGAGACATTTCCTGAGTGATATGCAGTGTATCTAGTCTGAAAGGAGAGAGTCTCGGAATTTGGGAGCTGGTTTAACTTTGTCCTAACTTCAATTATCTCACAAGTTATGATCATTTGAGTTTAATCAAACCTTACACATATTTAATCGTTTATTTGGAGACAATTGGTTCTGGATTGTTGCTTTTTCTAGGAAAATCTTATTTAAATGAATATTATAATTTGCAGACAGTTAACTCTACATGCCTTTTTTCAAAAATGACTTGTATCAAGTGGATTTTGGGGCACAACAACAAAGTCTTCAGAAAAAGGTCTGAATGGGTTTAAATCTAAGTAGAATTTGAATGCCAAACATCAGAACTAGCAGGAAATAAGCAAAATTATCGCAGTTACTCAATCGGGCCAAAACTTGTGAGCTTTATGTTCAATTAGTCTAGGATATTATTTACATTATTCAGACTGTTATCATCATCTTCATTGCTATGTTCACAACAATGTTTTGGCTGTTGTATGCACTGGTCTTCTTCAGGTGATTGGAATTTTGGACCAGTCCCTTTTATTTTGTCTATTGGAGTAGATTGTTCTAGTGCCATGCCTCCTCCAGCCCACTGACCCAGTGGATAAACACATTGGTTAGTTCCAGTGACTAAACCCAAATAGTTGTGAGTTCAATATCAGGCCACAGCAGTGGTGAACAAAAAAACTTGGAGAGTTAAAGGGAAGTAATTGAGATATCAGGAAGAGGCATGGTATGTGGAACTAGAGCACTCTATCCTGTTGGACAAAATAAAGGGTTCAGTTTGAAATTCTAATCACCAGAAGAAAGCCGGAGTGTACAACGGCCGAAACATTGTGAATATGGCAATGAAAATGAGGATAGTCCGAATAATGTAAATAATACAAGTAATCATAATACCTCATCTCAGAGATATAGACAGTCTAGGATATCACAAAATAGAAAGAATTAATGACCATTGTGGCATTTATGTTGATTTTTTTTTTTATACTCTTTCACTTCTTTTTTCAGAAAAATGAAGATGCTGTTAAAAAAGCTCAAAAACTCATGTATCCAAATGCAAATGGCAACTGCAGCTCAGTGTCACCCGTGAGTAGATTTTGTGCATAATATATGTCTAGATGTTTATATAAACCATGATATCATGGATAGGATTTATGAAACAAATATAACAAAACCCTTTTGTGATTTTAAGTAATAACAGTATATGTAGAAAGTTAACAAATGCCAAAATGTCCATAGTACATTTAGCATGTGACCAGATATACCAAATGAATGTGTATTAAAATATTTGATCACTTAATTCTTATCTTTATTCCAAAACTCTCTTCAGTTCCCAGGTGAAGTCCTGCTAATTGCTTTCTTTCTTCTTCACCCTATGGGCTGCTAGCACAACTACATTGATGATGTGTTAAACTTTCTTTTTTTTTTGTTAACAAAAAGTCTATTATTCTGTTGGTTTGTATATATGACCATTATACTTTTTTTTTACCTTGGATCAGTGTGTAGTATCTTCTCATTACTTGGTCCTTCCAAGTTGGAATTGATGACACTTTTGATCAAGAAACCTGCAGAACAATAGTTGAAGAAGGATGAAATTGGAAGAAGAGGTGGAGGAAGTGGGTAAGGAAGGTGGAAAAAAAAAAGGCTAGAAAAAAATAAAACCCACAGATGAGAGTTGGTGGTGGGTAAGGGAACAAAAGATACAAGTTTTCTAGTTGTATGTATGTTGTATTCCACTGTTATTTCATTAGAAGTATAAAGTTTTTGAAATGTAAACATTTCCTATTATCTATATTTCATTATATGGCTTCAACTAAATATATTCTGAACACAATTGTATGCTTTCAACTACAGATAAAATGTATCGTTGGTAATTTTTTTTTGTTAATTTGCAGTTTAGCACCCGCACTCAATTCACATTAAAAATTTCCAGAATACTTACATTTATGTGCAATTGTACATGCTTCATTCCAATCTGGCTTGATAAATTTGATAAAATCTACCGTTTGGATTCATTTGCATTGCGGCAGCCATTACTGGCATTGTTTGCATATATTTGCTGCAGAATAGCTATGAATAGAACATTCACTTGTCTTGATTATTGTGCATGCAATATAGTTCTCTTGCACATTAATGGAGACAAGTTAGACTAGTAAACAAGGCCATTCTCTTCTGTGCTTAGCTTTCTGCAGCAAATGTATGCAAACAATGCCAGGAATTGCTGCCGCAATGCAAATGAATCCGAACTTTTACTGCCGATAACTCCGAAACAGTAGGTTTTATCAAATTTATCAAGCCAGTTTAGAATGAGGCATGTACAATTACACATCAACAATTCACCCTTGCGTGGAGTACTGCTGTCATATATGGTCTGGTGTCCCTGTTGTTCGCCTTAAGGTCCTCGACAAGATCCAGAGATGGATAAGCAATGTGATTGGCCCTGATCTGGCATCTCATCTACAGTCGCTCTCTCACAAACGTGCTGTCACCTCCCTCTGTCTTTTCTACAAATACTTTCACAGTAACTGCTCTGACGAGGTACTTTTGTTGGTTCCCAAACTGCATGAATTTAAATGTGCTACTAGGTTGGCATCACGGTCCCACCGTTTCACTGTCAAAACAGTTAAATGTGGCCATCTCTTCTACTCCAATAGCTTCATGTCTCGCACTTCCCGTCTGCGGAATTCCCTTCCTATTACTTGTTTCCCTATAATCTCCAACTATTCAAATGTAATGTCAAACGACATCTCCAGATGCCCTGACCCCTTCCCTGTCCTTCTCTTCATCCTTTCCTCCATCATGCCTCTTTACTCTCACTCACACTCTGTAACCCCTTAAGTACTAGTGGCATCCCACCTTGCTTTAAAAAAAAAAAAAGAAGTATTCTTGAAATTTTTAATGCAACTGAGCGTGGGTGATAAACTGCAAATTAATCATTTTTTCTATATAAAAATGTAGTGCTGGTATTTTTACTATAAAAATTTATTTTTATACTTATTTTCTTTTTGTTTGTGGGTTCACTATTTGCTTATATCTGGGACCCTAACAGGTGCTACCACCCCAGATCAAGGTGTACCTGGTAGTAACAGTAATTAAGAGATGGTTCCATGCTCCTTAAAATCTCCCAATCAGAGGCTTTCCTGCCAAATGTAGTTTGTCATATCCCCAGGACTGGTAAATAAATTGCTCTTTGGTGAGATAGCTTTATTCAATTGTTTATTCTGGCACAAAGCCCCAAGCGTTGCATATCCAGCTAGGATTGAACTCACTACAACAAAGTAGAATAACTATTACATTTTTCTCTTCTTTTTCTTTCTGGATTGATGCGAAGTAAAGAAATTCAAAGGGAGGTAACTTTTAAAATTAAAATGGTGATCCACATGGAGTTTTTCGTGTTTTTTATATATATATATATATATATATATCTTTTGTTTCTATTTTCAGACTTCCAGAAAGCGAAAAGCAACAGAAGAAGAAGAAACTTTAAAAAAGAAAACTAAACAATAATCATACCACTAGTGCTTGACATTTTTTTTTTTTCAAAGTTCATTAACAATTTGTACATTTTAGACTTTTACACTTCAAATACCACTTATATTGTGTCCAGTCTAAATATTCATTTATATATAAATACATTTTTCTCCAAAATTTATAGTCATTTTTACATTTTGAACACAACCATAAAATGGTAAATGTTCGTACTTAAAAGGGCCATTTTTAAAAAAAAAGAAATTACTTTTATTTTTTTAAGGTTGTTTGTTTTCCTTGAATTTCTTTGCTAGAATCTCTGATATTTTGAAGAGGTTCTGCGATGTTGTGTACAAATATGTCAATTGTTTAAAATCTTATCTGAACGATTATGCATTTTTAAATATATTTTTAATTTTCCAGCATTTAATTGGGGGTACATGGAGTTGTCAATGTAGAATTTCTTGATAAGCATCCGTGAAAGCAAATTTCCTTCAGAAACGTTTTTCTTCAACTCTTCTCCACTTGTGTGTGTTTTTATGTCAGCCATTTTCCTTTTAGACTTTAAAAAAAAAAAAAAACATTTCAGTTACCGTCTGCCTTTCATTTTTTAATCCTCAGGGAAAGACATAATTCTTTATTCTTTATAAAGATAATAAAAAAATTATACTATAGTCCTAATATTTTTTTTTTAATATAAAGTTGCCTTCAGTGGAGATTGTTTTCAAAAAGCTCCTTTTATTATTTATAATGCTGGCAAACTAAAGTAGCCTGGGACTAAAAGGCCAGGCAGACCATTATTAACATAGTAGTAGACAAAGCTAACCATAGTGTGATATAACAATAGTTTTAGAACAACCGATGAGTTTCTGTCTTGTCATTAGGAGTGCTGTAGAAAATATGACAAATTTATTGGATTCATTTGAACATAAGATGGACAGAGAAAAAAATGATGAACAAGGTCCAAACTTTCCTTATTTCAAATCCTTTGATGACCTTCTGCAATATGGCTGCACCACCATAACCCTTGCTCTTTTTAAAGTACTAAACACACTAAAGCCAACAACTGAGTAAAGATTTTTACATAAGCAATTTATCTTTGTACTTTTTTTTTCCAGATTTTTTTTATTGCTGTTGTTTATCAATTTCTTCCTGGTTTAAGTTTAAACTGACATCTTTTTTTTTTTCCTTTTTTACATATTCTGACCATTTCTTTGTATTTTCTTGATTTCAGATTAAAACTTGAAAAATTTCCAACAGATTTCAGTAGAACCTTTGTCTTTCAGATTACAGTTTATAATTATAGTTTAGGTAAATAGGGAGTGTTGGGGGGTGAAGGTGTCAGTTTAAATTGACACCAGTAAGATATGTGTTTAGGATGATGAGGAGCAGGTAAAGAAAATCTTATTTGTTTTTCCCTACCCCCACTTCTACTTTGTCTGATATCTAGATCTAGTCATGCTGCCAAATATCATACAAGTTCTTTTTTGTGTGTCTTTTAGACAATTTGAAGTGAAAAAAACAAAACCATCTGTTCAGTTTTTCTTTCTTTCCCTATACATTAATAAAGTGAGGTTGTTCTCTCTCTCCATACATTAATAAAGTGAGGTTGTTCAACCAAGGAAAGCAAGTCTTCACTCCTAACGTCAAGAATATTGGCTAATCAACATCTTATCTATAACAAGAATAAATATTGTTAAGAGTGCTCATTGCTATACAGCAATTGTTAACAGGTTAATGTTACATTACCACCATAGTCAGTTTGATCCTCTTTATGTGTCTCAACTTTGTGGCCTTTTGCCAGACAGTTAAAGATCAACAAGATTTAAGCATGATTGGCTGCCTTGAACTTCACCAGTGGTCATTTTACAACTTTCATTTTTGATCATCAAATGAATCTATTGATCTTTTGATAGATCTATTTAGTCAGTGCCTGCTTGATGATACAGGCAGATTTCTTGTATAAATGCCTATATTTGTACTTGAGTACAGTTATAAGCCAAGGTTTAGAATGCTGCTTTTCAAGACTGAATCTACTTGCCTTCTTGAAACAGAGTTGTAATGCAGCTTCTTTTTTTTTTTTACACTCTTTTTTTCCCTGTAGATCCCTCTCTCTCTCTCCCTGTCCCCATCTTGCTTCACCCCCCCTCTCCTACCCCTCTTTCACTCATAAATATCTGTATTCCATAAAATCATTTAATAGTTTGTGGAGGGGAAGAAAGTAAATTGTTTTATTTGACGTTTGACCTAATGAAACTAACAAATATATTTATCGTGTTTGCTTTCTGTTAAGAATCATGAAATCTTCATTTCTTTGTCTGATGCTTAATGAGCCGCTTTTGTGTGGAATAAATGATGAATTGTATCTTACGGAATAAGTAAAGGTCTATTTGTTCTGAAGTCCGGGTGTTTTATTGTTATCTTTGGCAAGTGAAAACTTTTTATTTCATTTGCTTGAAGATTTTTCCATGATGAGGAAAACTGTTGGATACAAAGGGTCAACCAACCAAATTGAGAGAAAAAGAAATCGTGTGGGGGAGGGTGAAAATTTCTGGGACCCAACTCACTTCTCAAAATCTGACCAAATATCAGTAATTTATTTTTTTTTTTTTTTAAACCCTTTTTGGTTTGTTTGGGAACTTCACCACCGACTCGGGCATAAGTGTGTGGTGTTTCAAAATCATTTGACCCAAGTTCAAATCTTACCATGGTTAATTTATCAGAAGTGACTGAGCAGAAATTAATTTCTGGTAGAGAGCACATTATCTGACATGATCAACAGTTTGAGCAAGGCCAGTATGCTCAAACCCTCGGTCACGATGACTTGTGACTTTGTGCTCACATGACCATTGACAAACAATTCTGTCCCTCCAATTTCACTTGCATAGCTTCAGTCAACCTGTGGTGTGGTTTTCAGTCACTTTCCAAAGGTGCTACCCACTGGGATCACCACTCAAGACCGATAGAATCAACAAATCACCTTCCTGACAAATTGATCATGGTCAGAAAGCAAATTCTCTAATCACTCTGTCACGGGCAAATTTCACATCTCTATTTAATAGATTCATTTGTTGATGTAAATATCATAATGATATCATAATCATTCAATGTGATTCAATAATTATCAAACATTAACAAAAAAAATGCAAGAAATATTGAAATTTTAGAACTACAATACACTTATAAAAAGACTTCAATATTGATAGCTTAAATATGCCATGTGTAACCTCAAAATAATAAAATATAAGTAATTAAAAAAAAAGTACTTCTTTGGATGATAGTTCAGCAGGACCAATATCGCCATCATCTCACAGGACGAGGTTGGGGGGGGGGGTTCTAATTGAGGAAAGGTTGCAGTTATTGTTTGAAGTTTGGCAAAGTGTTATTATTTGTTAAGTTCTTTAGCACTAGTAAGCTTACCGTTTTTAGACAGTCATCGTATCTTATAATCTTTCTCCTCAACCACCAAAGTTTTATTTCATATAAAATGTCTGCAGTGTCACATAAATTCTTTTCAAGACTGGCAGAAATAAAACTTATGATTAGAAGCTGTCGAATACATCTGAAGAAGGTGGGAAGAACTGTTGAAAGTGACAAAGGTGTGGATGCTAATGTAAATAACTCCTTCAATAAAGCGTTAGTTAATTCTTAACTAAAGGAAGATTTGAAGAATCATTTTTTTTTTATTGTCTTTGGCAGGATTAATTTACTTGTCTGTCATCTTTACCATTACTGCTTAAAAAAATTGTAATTGCAATATTCACACTGTTTCGGGTGTTGTACGTGCCAGCCTTCTTCAGGTGATTGGAATTTTTCTTCAATATCCGTCTATATCTCTGAGATGAGGTTTATGATTACTTGCATTATTTACATTATTCAGACTGTTATCCTCATCTTCATTGCCAGATTCACAACGTTTTGGTCGTTGTATGCTCTGGCCTTCTTTAGGTGATTGGAATTTCAAACTGAACCTTTTATTTCATCGACCCGGGTAGATGGTTCTAGTTCCACATGCCATTCCTCTTACGGATGTCTCAGTTATTTCCCTTTAATTCAACTCTCTAAGTTTGGTTCACCGCTGCTGTGGCCTGGTATTGAACTCACAACACTTTAGGTCTAGTCACCTGAAGAAGGCCAGAGCATACAATGGCCGAAACATTGTAAATGTAGCAATGAAGATGAGGATAACAGTCCAAATAATGTAAGTAATCATAATACCTCATCTCAGAGATATAGGCAGATATTAAAATAATTGTATTAGTTTATTTAAAATAGCAAATATTATTTAATATGGTTTAAATGATTACTTAAATTATAGTTTTGCTTGGGGTTTGCAAAAAAACACTGCCAATCTCACCCACTACTCCAGAAATTTACTTGACAGATCGCCACCATTAGCATAACATATTTTTCATTTTGCCTTAATTAGCCATTTGCTGGATGGTTGAAAGAGTTGCATATTTTGCACTCAGACCATGTGATTGGGAATGTGTAGGTGTCGTCTTTGCTAACCAAATGGAGAATGAAATTGACACTCTGCTGTTTGTTTCTTTAAGAAAAAAAGCTTGAATACACTTCTCTCCCTAATTATAGGTAAATAGTAGCATAGTAACTGTTTAGCCGTATAAGAGACAGTCTTGGTCCTTGGATATGGGACAGGATGGTAAAAAAAAAAAATTTTTTAAATTTTTAAAAAAATTCTCAAATAAATAAAACTGGCCAAATCCCTGTTTTGCAAAGATTTCTCTCAATAATTTAAGAATGATTCAGCAGACAGTTATTTTATTTATGGTAAATGGATTTTTTGGCAATTACCTTACTCAATTTTCATTATTTGATACTGTGTATCTGACGCTTTTATTGCGACTGCCTTTGCTTATCAGCCTTTTGGCTAAGTGAAAAGTGTAGTATATCAACTTAATCTGATTCTCTCTCTTAACTTCTGTCTTCCCTTTCTTTCATTTTCTTACTGAAACCAAGTAGTGTCTTTTCTGCACTTACCATGTGATCAAAATGGAATAGTCCATTATTTTTTAGGT